CATGAATATACACAAAAACCTCCCACCAAATGTAGCCGCACCTAATCACCAAAACAAATCTTCCAAGGTTTCCCCACACCATCATTTTCACACTGCTATGTAGCCCCAAAGCAGACAAAATCAAGGGGTTTTTTAATTTAAAAAAATTGGTGCCTATTTAGATCATATTCTTAAAAAAACATGATCTAAATACATTTAAAAATCACTCATTTAGAAATTAACTTGATAAATTATATTGAGTCCTAAAATTGCTTAAATAATTTGAGTAGATGATGGCAAAGATGCTGCAGAACCCCTCAAGTCTGAATGAGCTAAACATACTGCCCTTTGAAGATATGCTCTGAATTTTGGGGAAAATAATCTTAATTTCTAAGCTCAACTCAAACTTTATAAACATCTGTGTGGCTGCATCTTTCTTCAGAAAAATAATGACATTGTAGCAATGAAACATCAGATTCAAATCAATGTTTTTCTTGCTGGCTGGTTTCAATCAGTCACCCAGGTTTAAACTAGCTCTGATTTACAAGCAACCCTTGGAATTAAATGCTCCCTTCACCAGCATTACCAAGTCTTGCAAGAAAAAAAGGTGCACTGCATTTAAAAATAAACCCAACCCATTTCAAATAGAGGCTTATCAACCCACAGCTCTCAAAAAAATTAAAGCAACTTTTTAAAAAAGCAAGCCCAATTCCACTTATTATAAGCGGACATGGCAACACTGCCTTTTACACCAAGCTGTCTCAGAGAAAAGGTGGTACTAGCTGGTCATCATACTCCCCTAATTGGATACTGGAGACAGCTGTATCCTCCACCCCCCACCCCTGGGCTTCAGGCTGTGTCTTTTACAGCTGCTATCTGTTCTTGCATAGGAAAGAAAAAAGGGACTTTAAACCCTGTGGGTTACAAAGGGAGCAATGTGAGTCCCCAGCAGTCTTCCCTGTTCTGTTCACGATTACACTATATGAACACGGGCTCCTCCTCTGGGGGACATATCCTGACATCCATCTCTGCTCTTAAAAGTTTGGGTTTTGTAATGATGTGATAGATGATTTCACTGCACTTGCTTAAATGTATGGACTACATCAGAAGCAGATCTGTGAATGGAACCCAGGGGTTCTACTGTTTCAGGATGTGGTTTTAGACTGCTGCCCCAGAATTACCATTTTTAAATAGGGCTATTGAAATAGCTTGCACAATGGTAGTGAGGTTCTGCCGCAGCTTAGAAATTAACCCTGTATCAGAGTTTGCCTTGCATCATCTCCACCTGCTCTGCCCCTGCCAGTCTGAGACTTGTCAGTGGTCAATTCAGCTCGCAAAGATGCTGTGAGGGATGTGAGCATAGCCTCTTTGTTTCCAGTCCCTGGGGAATCACAAAATCCTCCAAACCAAGGTTGAGAAACACTACTGCAAACAGGAGATAAGCGATTGGGAAGCAACGCACACTTCTCCTCCCCTCCACCAAGCACCTCACTGGCAAAGCTTCAGCAGTGCAACCTATTTCTGCAGCAGCTGAATCTTAGTGGCAGCTTTTCTCCTCATGTAGATGTAAAACCCTCCAAGCAAGTTAAGCACACCCACAGCGGGTAGAGGAGATACCATGTTAAACAGCTGAGTCCAAAACATAAGCTCTAGAGAGAGATACATGGACTTTTGGTATTGATTACTCCAACGCTTTTGGAGTTTTGGTGGTTGCTGTGTGGCTCCTTTACTAGCTCTTAATGAGGCCCCTAAGGTGCTTCTATCTTGCAGAGGCCTCTGCAGAGTCCAGGAAACCATCTGTTAATCAGAGGCTGCTGAATGATCAGGCTATTAGTGAGCCTTCCCCAAAACATGCTCCAATTCCACAGTATAATTTGTACCATACATGCCTCAGTGGGGCTGAACAGCAATTGCAGGACTAGTGAAGTCAACCTCTAGCTCTCTTCTGTCAGAGGCAGAAGACAGTAATACAGTGTGCAAGGGGGGGGGGGGGGGTAAGAAGGTACACCGAGCATCTCTCAAGGGAGAACAAAACTAGCTTTGGAATTCTACCAGATCACTTCACACAGGAGCCCCCATCCACTTCACACACATTGTAAAGCAACAGGTGAACAGGTTAAATTTCATGTTGTAGGTACCTTTGCAGCTAGATAAGCTGGCATGCTAGGACGCAATGGAAACCTTTATTTCCTCTTTCAGAAAAAGAGTTAGGACTCCCTACTCCATTTTCTTCAAGCTGTGTGCTAACCTCCCTTCCAAAGGATCTGCTGGACAGAACCAGTCAGTGTTTACTGCAAGCACTGATATAAAGGAAGAATTCACTAAAAAGGTACATGGAGATAGATGTATAATGGCAACCAGAGGCAACATGACCATCATTAAGAGAGATAATGTAAAGGCTACAGTACAGAAGACAGCATTTTCAAAGGCAAAAACTAGCAATGAAGTGCTACTGCCATTTTGTCTTTGAGAATCTTCTAAGCCAAAATACTTCCTAAATATATTTTTTTAAATCCTTCTCCCACTTTTTAGATTAGAAGATCTTTGCAACAGAAAGTTACTTTGTGTAGGTATGTTCATAATGGGATCCCAATGCCATTCAAGGTCTTCAGGCACTACTGTAATGCAAGTAATAAATGCTATGCAGAACAAAAGGTGCCTCGTAAGACAACTTGGACAGACAGGCTAGATGGAGGGATCATTACTCATCACTGCTGAAATTAAGCAACTGGCATTAGCCCACCTGAAAACAGAGACACAGAAATGGACTTTATGTTTCAGGCAGATGGAGAGGAGGTGGAATCATAAGGGAAGATACATGCTCAGACAGAGCAAAATGTGCAGTTTGTGTTTCTATCCAATTTTACCTGTTTAAAAAAACAGATTGACTTGAGAGTGACAGGCGAAAGGAAAATTATTTTTTTCTTCCTTCCTCCATCTGGAACGTGCACGGGTGCTACAGCAGAGAGAGAGATTCTGTTTTCATGAACCTAAATTAGCTTGATTCATATTTTTAGATTTGCAGAGTGGAGGAAGGCAGAGAGAAACTCTTTTCGGTTTTAGACCATTACAGTAGGTGGGCTTTTCAGAGTTAAGGGATAGTCACTGAACACAGAAGAGTTTGGTCTAGCAAACAGTCTAACAGTGGTGACTAGCGAAAGATAGTGCAGAACTACTTGCTCCTGGACATACACTTGCAAGTTCTGCATTGTACATACACATCCTCCAGTGGACACTGATAGACCAGCAGGGTTTGCTACACAGAAGTAACAGCCCCCTCCCCCCCATTCAGGAATGTGTCACAATTCCCTGTGAGTGACAGCAACTCGTGGCAACCAAATATACCACACTGAGTCAAGTACCTTGGTCTGCAGAATGGTGCTCCACAAAGCAGAAAGCAGCTTTCCAGGTGTTCTACTGACAGTTCAACACACAAAATACTGCTAGTCACAACCCTAATTTGCAAGTGATTCAGCAATCAACACAACATATGCTATACATCATTAGTTTCTCATAATGTGCATGCAGTGATCTGGGAGCAGGGCTGCTACCAATGCACAATTTATCCATCTTAGAAACAAACACCCATAGGACAGGGAGCAGTGACATTTTGCTCTCTATGTTGCTGGCTGAAAAGTTGTTGACCTGAGGATAAAGATTAAAAAAACCAAACATATTTCTAGCATGTAGCATAACATCACATCAAAACTAACAGAGCTAGCAAATAAACAAAGGAATATTGAAAAGATGGAGAGACCATAGTACATAATATAGCCACCCTGCTCAGTATCCCTCAGTTAAGAAATCTGCCAGGGAAGTGTTCTTCCCCACTTTCACTTAAGGGTATAAAGGGAATGGGGCCTTGCAAAGTCCCAAAGTAGCCAGAACAGCTCTGGTCCTTCTGCTTGGTAATTAAAAATTATCAGGTCTGTCTAAACAAAACAAAGTAATGTCTGATGAAAGCTCTTGAGTGCTGCGGGTAATTCGGGCAAAAGGCAGCTGCAGGGCAGCGTTTTTTGTACTTAAAAGTAACTGAAGCACTTTAACATGAGAGAAAGGGAGAGGAGAGCAAAATTGATGGATGCAGCATAAAGGGTAATGAAATGAAGTTAAGGAAATATTTAGGCAATAAATTTTGTAATGATAAGAACATTAGATAAGAAAGCTCTTCGATAAGAAACATCTTCCAAAAGGCTATGTGGGAGCTTCATTACTTGACCATTTAAACTAGACAGGAAAAAAAAACACTAGACAAGAGCAAGATGGCTATGTCCCTCATTATTTGAGAGTATCATTAGAATTATAGAAAGGGTTGGAAGGGACCTCAGGTCATCTAGTCCAACCTCCTCAAAGTAGGACCAGCCCCAACTAGATCATCCTGGCCTCACCAGTGCTGAATAGAGGGGAATAATCACTTCCCTTAACCTATTGGCAATACATCTACCAATGCAGCCCAGTATGTTGTTAGCCTTCTTTGCAAGAAGGGCACACTGTTGGCTCATATTCAGCTTACTGTCCACTGTAACCCCCAGGTCCTTTTCTGCAGAGCTGCTGCCCAGCCAGTCAGCCCCCAGCCTGTACTAGTGCATGGGATTGTTCAGTCCTAAATGCAGGACTTTGCACTTGTCCTCGTTGAAGCTCATGAGATTCCTTTTGGTCCAATCCTCCACTTTGTTTAGGTCACTCTGAATCCTAGCCCTACCCTCCAGTGTGTCTACTACCAAGCTTTGTGTCATCTGCAAACTTGTTGAGGGTGCACTCTATGCCATCTTCCAGTACTGTATCACATACCCACTTTTAGACAACAGGCTTTTTGTTGCATTGTACCATGCTTATATACCTCCTCAGTATGAGCGGTCCTTGAATGAGACACAATCATTGATATTTTGTTCCAAGGTGATGAGTAAAATAATTCTGACAGACCTGACAGGCACTGAACAGTAACATATTACCTTATACCTTGGCAGAAATAATTCACACACAAAACTCTGTTTTTCTTAAAAAAAAAAAAAAAAGCAAGATTTATTTTGACCTGTGAAAAAGACTAACAAGCAAGTTATCTTGTTAGACACACACACCAAATTCCTGAATGAGGCTAATAATCGAGCAAGAAACAAGCAAGTTGAATGACTACTAAATCCCTACACAGTAGGGATTCTCATGTGGAAAAAAAATCAACTCAGTATTACAATCCAGAATACATATTACAGGGCAACAAGGCAGGGATGCATCTAACGGATTTCAAGCTATTTTACAGCATTTTCATTGCTCTGAATGAACTTCAGAGTTTCCACATGAGATGGTTACCAATTAACAGCAAAGAAATTTTACATGAAGATTTGCAACAATGCCATAAACCACAAGGACACAGACAGTGATGAATATCTGACCTTCTCATGACTGCTTTTTTGCTTTGGCTATGAGGTGGTATCCAATCAATTTCTGGTTACCAAGCTGTAAAGATTCTCTCACGTCAGGCTAGACAGGCTCAGATGCTCTGCATTGTATAAGTTGGCAATACCTGGATAAAGATACCAATTACACTGGAGGAACAGGATATATTAGTTTTAGAAGTGTGGAATGGAAGCATTTTAATGCAGGTCATTTTTTTTGTTACAACATACTTCTGCAAAAATAAAATAAGAAGCATTACAATCCTGCACACTGTTTCTCAATGGTTAGCTACACTCCCATAGATGGGAGCCCTGACGATCAGAAAATAATTCCTTGATTTCTAACTTTGGAATAGGCAGGAGAAGGAAGTAGTGATCACAGGTCAGTTCAGCCACCCCTAATTCTAAAGGTGTCAAACTGAAACACAAGCTCCAGATTCTTAAATACAGATATTTCCACATGGAGTTTTCTGTGGTCATTCAACAACCTGGTTGACTCCATGAAAGGAGTTGCTGTAGAAGAACTAGGTAAATGTACATCATTAGAATACTCGAGAAGTAACCAAGATGCATTGCACTGCATGGATATTCTCTGTTTCAGCAGCTCCTGGAACCATGAGGAAATCCATGGGGGAGAAAGCTATGTCCTGGAGAGCAAATATGAATTGTTGCAAGGCATCCCAGATACATGCCTATCATGAGAGGAGGAACTGGCTGAAGGCTGCGAGGTGTGTTTCACAGAATGAGATACAGATTTTTCAGAAATTGGCAAGTTTGGAAAGAGGGATGAGGAAAAAGAGAAATGGTTGGTTGTAAGAGAGATTTTGCTCATTCCAATAATGCTCCTTCTGGCAGTTCCACTACCACTGGGGCGCAGTCATCAGGCTCTGCATCAAAGTCCCATTTGAACTTCTTAGTTAGGTGGGCCTTAAATTTTTCTGCCTTTTTCCTTAGTGTCCTGTCCATTGCAGTGCTGCAGGTGTAGGAAAAGAAGACCTAAAATAACAGGTTAGATGTCAGTAAACATACAGAAGGGACAAAAACTGCAGGTTTTTCCTGCCTTGACTGAAGCCAGTGAGGCCGGCCTGAGAAGAACTTTTGAGTTGTTTCCAAATGGCTTTGGAGTTACAAGCAGGTCCTATCATTTCCATCTTCACGCCACAGCCTGAAGAAATACTCTGCCTTCACTCTACCATCCCCATTAGACCATATCAGGGCTGATAAAACTGAATCATGGTTACCGTTTTTAAATCTTAAAAAGCAGAGGAATGAGAGTGAGGAGCATGGATTCAAATAAAGGTAGGGAAGTTATTAAACATACATGGTGGGATTTTTACAAGTGTTTACTTGGCTTGGACCCTGCATCTCTATAGCAAGCAAATGGCATTTGTGCTCTTATGTGACTTACTATGGTGCTTTTGATAATCTCAGTCACAAAAAAATAGCAATGGAAGAAACTGCTGGCTCAGTAACTAGATGTTGAAATTCAATCTCAGAAATCAGACAGCAACCATGAGAAATAGTTGCTGGCCTGAAGGAATGTGCACCATTGCAAAAGTTGGAACTGTGAACCTTCAAGCCTTATGTCTCTGTTTCTTTCTTATAAGACAAAATCAAATTCTCATATATTCACTTGAGACCAAGCACTTTTCATGCCATGGTTTATAGCTAAAACAGAAGGGGCTGGGCAGCAGAGAGACATGCGTAACATCTCTCTCACTTTACATCAGAGAATCAAACTTAAACACCTATAAAAATAAGGTTCCCTTAAGGACAACTGGTCTGGCCATGAGATTGCTGTGTAAGAGAAGGATAGGGACAGTTTTCTTTTTTCTTTTTTTTTTTTTTTTGGGGGGGGGAGAGGTCAGGGAGAGAGTGTGTCCTATTGGCCAGCATATTTGGTTTCTTACTGTAACAAATATTAAAAAAAAATAAACTTCAGCTACTGTAGGCAGATGAAACAACCCCACATAAGAAGTACCTGCTGCATGACTAACAACTCACAGCATGTCTCCAAGTGTGACTTCTAATTCCAGTGAACAGGGTGAGGGGCCTGACCATGCTCCTTACGTACAAGGCTCAATGAGAGGAGTGTACTAGAATTTTTCAATGTTGTAGCATGGGATTAAAGCACAGAAATGTTGGGAATCAACATCTTCACGGATAGGCAGAGTTCCCACCCAAAAAACTGCCTTGGAAGCTAGAGAAGTGAAGGACGGGGTCCCCTGTTTGGAAATCAAATTTCTAATCATGTACAACAGTCATTCCCCCCAAGAGCCTTGAGCATAAGTAGCATCAAACAGGAATAACCTTTAGGGAGGAAGTTTTTTAATAGTATCACACAAATCATTAACTTATCACACATTCACAGTTTTCCTTTAGCACTTCAGGTAGTTATGGCACCTGTGTCTGATTGATCAGGGCCTTCAAACAGAGCCCAGCTCTCCTGCTCCATTCTACCACCATGCTGAATTTGTGACTCAGAATTCACTTCTACAGCAAAAGGCTGATGTTATAAGCCAGGAATGTCCACCTGGCACTCCACAAGGGGTTGAACTGCAGCCACGGGGGATCCTCTGGCCACTATTTGGCTCCTCCTCCCTTCTCTGGCTTTCACTGCCTGCCCCCCAGGTCAGGGGACAAGGCAGGGTGGGTGGCACAGCTCAGCACAGCCTGCAGTGTTGTGAAGTGGGAGAGCCTGCAGCCAATGAAGCACCCTCCCATCTGTCCACACAGGAGAGTATATGGGTGAGGGGGCAGGGAGCTGCCCACCTGTGTTCAGAGGAGGGCGGGGGGTGCCACCTGCCCATGCAGCAATAGAGGAGTCTGCAGTCAGGGAGGTGAGTGGGAGCTGTGGCACAAAATGGGGCAGCCCCCAGCCACCAAGAAGTTGGACAGTACTTTTCTAAGCCAAAGAAAATGTCATTACAGGATTAAGCTGCAGGGAAAACCCCTTTGGGAAAAAGAAACCTCTTATTCAAGGGAGACCTTTAGATAGCAGGATACAATTCAGAAAACAAATGGCTAAATTTCACTGTTTTGTACATAGCTATTTGCTTCTTCCTTGCTCAGTCTACTGTAAAACTGCCTCTTTAGAATAATAGAAAAGTAGATCAAGAAGAGACCTCAGGAGGTCGTCAAGACCAGCCCCCTCCTCAAGGCAGGATCATCCCTGTCAAGCACCTGTTTAACCTGCTCTTAAAAACTTCCAACTTCTGTGGGTGGCCTCTTCAAATGACTTAATGTTTCTATGTAAATAAGTATTTTTTAACAGAACTCTCCTATAAGAAGTGAGACTAGTGTTAAAAAGGACTAAAAATAAGGTTACTGGGATTTACAGTTATCCCTCTCAGGAACTTTCAACTCCAATATATAACTTTACAAGTCAAAACTTTTTTTTTTTAAATTGATGATCCTGCAAACTCAGGCTAGGGTATGAAAAAGGCCAAGCTGTGTTCTCTCTTAATATCACTGTTATCTACTTAAACTCTGCAATAAATGCTTGAGTAAAAGTTTCCATACAAAAAGTAAGAGTCTTGACACAATCACTGAACCATTGTGATGGACCTGATCTGAATTTTTTCAGTTTACAAAAATTTGTAAATATATTAATAAAGCATTGTGTTCAACTGATATATTTACAATTTGAAAGCAATTTGGAAGCCTACCAGTGCCTCAATCATTATAATAAAATTAATTCTAAATACCAATATATTTTGGCATTTGATTTTGGTGTTATCACAGAAAATCAAAGTTACCCCTGCCCCCTTCACTCATCAGTATGCGGATCCAGCTGCAGCTGTCCCCCCCACTGCTTTGTGGTGCTGAACAGCCCTGATACGTCAGCGCCCCTCAGTCCCAAGCCACAGCCTCACCAGCTTTGCTTGTGCCCCTGACCCGCAGGCCTCTCGTCCCCGCCAGGACCCCTCATTCCCAACCCACAGCCTCCTGCCCCCCTGCCCAGCTGCCAGCGCTATGGGACCTGGTGGCTGCATCCTGCCCACTCCCTGCCCTGTAGGTGCCAGCTGCAGCTGGTTGGCAGCACTGAAGCACCAGCTGCCATGTGCTGGAGGCGGCAGCTGCTGCAGCTGGAGCAGAGGGAGGAGTATGGAGCCTGGGTCCCTCCTCCTGCCTGCAGGCAGCATGGCCGGAGTGGAGCCCATGGGGACGTGGGGGATTGCAGGCTGCCTGCTATAGGGCTCCCTGCTCTGCTGCCTTCCCCTGGGGGCCTCCATAGCCCAGCAGGTGGGACTAGGCATGGGAGGGCAGAGCAGTGAGACTATAGCAACACAAGGAGTAACAGGCTGGGGGTGGGGGGATAGCTGTGCTGCCCTCACCTCCTCTCACTGCTTGTGTGCTAGGCCGTGGCTCTACCCTGCCACTGTGGCCCAGCCACCACCACTCCCATCAGACTGCCTGCACTGCCCCCCACCCTACCTCCCTTCTGGGGTAGAGCTGTGGCCCAGCATGTGAGGGGCTGGTGGTGGAGGAGGTGAGAGCAGCACCACTCCTCGCCCCCATTCCATTACTCCTCGTGCTGCTGGTGGCATGACTGTTGCAGGGGTCCTGGCAGTGGCAGCAACAAGTCTCACTGCCCTGCTCTGCCCTCCTGCTCTAGGTCTTGCCTGCTGGGCCATGTGCCTGCTGTGGGCTCAAAAATCTAGAGGGGTATGTGCCCCTCCCCATGCCCCCCCTGGATGCATTGCCTATGCTCCACCCCACCATAGACTTACCTGCAGGGAGTTGCGGGAGCTGCTCTCCATCATGCTGCCTGGCTGCCACATGCACATGTGCATGCACACATGCATGTGGTACCCCCAGCCTGTGATCAGCTTCCTCCTGCTCCTGGCGTTCCCCTAGCCCCAAGCAGCCTCTTGCAGGCTGGAATACTGCCAGCCTGCAAGGGGAACGCCATAGTTTTCTACCTTTTTCTCCTTTAAAAGAAAGAATCCAGGTTTTCCCACAGCAAATGGAAAACCCAGATCCCTGGTGATCTGGAACAATCAACATGGACTCGTCCACAGCGGTCATGCTTGACCGCTGTGATTGCCTTCTAAGGCAAGGTGATGGGCTTCATGGATGGGGAAGGGTAGCAGATGTAATACACCCTGACTTCAACAAGGCTTTTGACACTGTTGCCCGAGAGGGGTCCAGAGAAGGGCTGTGGATTAGGAGTGAGTGGGTCCCGAGAAGGGCCACCCGCATGATCAGGGACTTGCACGGCAAGCCATATGAGAGGCTGAGGGATCTCGGACTCTTCAGCCTAAAGAAAATAAGGCTGAGAGGGGACCTGATTGCGGCTTACTGCTATATCAGAGGTGTACATCAGGGGCTCAGTGAACAATTGTTCACCAGGGCACCCTGGGGGAAAACTAGAAATAACGGCCACAAACTCCTAGAAGATAGTTTCAGGCTGAACATTAGGAAAAACTTCTTTACAACTAGGGTGTCCAGACTATGGAACAAGCTTCCCCCCCCGCAGAGGTGGTGCAATCATCTACCCTAGAGGTCTTATCCCAGCATCAATATAGACTTCTTTGCAGACTTCTTTCTTCAGGAGTATTTTTAAATCCTCAGAAGACAAACAATTGGATTCTAGTGAAACAAATTATTTTGAGCTTCAATTCATGCCAAGGGGGCGAGGAAGGGTCCTATTTGAAACTGCCAGTGCTCTAAGCTCATACAAGGTTTCGTTCCAACTTCCTCACATACAATATCATCCTGTCATCTAAGATGATCAAAATTAGTATCATCAGGCTTTTACTTATCACAAAAGCCGACCTTCTTTACGATGAACTAAATTACCCTTGCTCAAATCTACCCATCTCTGCACTGCTAGTAAGACCTTCCCTCTTTTAAGAAATTGCACTTGTGAAATTAAATTAATTGAGTTATACTGCACCAACCTCTAAAATGGATATGCTACACTGGCACAGAATGCTTACTTCACACTCATAAGACCATGAGCCCTAACAAGATGTGGCACCTTGTAATAAGCCTTTTAAATTAGAGGACTGTAACACCTCATTCGGCCCTTTGAGATTTAAGTGGGGTGATTGCAGAAATAGCATACAGGCAATTAATTGAGAATCTATGATTGTATCCAAACTGGTAGTTAGGGTCAACTTTAGAGCCACCTTGAAGCCCAAACCCAACAATTTATACTGGAAATCCCTATTTAACAGTGGATGGTAGTCCAGCTGACACCTAAACCCCTTCTAAACTTCAGAGCTGAGGGAAAAGCAGCCTTACTTCTAGGACATCCCACTCTGGAGTGTTTTTGGAACAAGGTACAAGAAGCATGGAAGTCTTAGTTGTAGGCTTTGAGGTAAAGCAGAGATGGGAAAGGGAAGTTCAAGTACCTAGCGCTGGATGAAGGAATGAAGGAAACCCCTTGAACATCAGTGTAGGTGTGCCCTCAGACCTTCATGCATACCATTTCACATGAAGCGAAAGGCAGTGAATCCCACCCCAATCTACAACCCCAGCCTCATCTGAATTTCATCCCATGTTGTGTTTCCATCCTCATTCTCGCGAGATTTTTTTCATACTACTGTTTTTCTGCAGAGGGTGGACTTACCTGTAGAGTGCTAGTTAAGAAGTTGTCCTGGGAAACTATGTCCACAAAGAAGTCAGGTGGGATTTCACTGAGCTGGTGGTACAGGACAGAAATGAGACTGGTGTAGAGAACTTGATACTTCCCTATGGCATCCTCTGACCTGCACAAGAGATTCAGGAGCTTTTTCCAGTGCTCAAACGCATCATACACGTTCCCAATCAGGAAACAGATGAAAGCAAACTGCAATTCACCTGGAAATGCCCCACCGAGAAAAAAAAGAGAGACAGAAAAGGACTTTAGTCAGTGAATCAAAGTGAAAGAGGCACATGCAGCCCTTGACAGCTATGCAGATTTGCGCATACACTAGTAAGGTTGGCCTTTTTCCAGCACACAAAGAGATTCTTCTGTTCCCAATGGTTGTGCTACAGTAACAACTGTCAGTCCTTCAGACATCGATTGCTTCCCACTCCTTTGTTATGTGACTAGGAAACAAGCGTACTGCAATCAAAAAAGGACATGTTTAGCACAGCCGTTTATCGTGGAGAGCCACTTTATCATCAAATAGAATCAGAGAGTAACATTGCTGTGAAGTGACTTCCAGACACTTGGATATGGTATTGTCTGTTTTATTGTTATAGATTCATAGATGTTAGGGTCGGAAGGGACCTCAATAGATCATCGAGTCCGACCCCCTGCATAAGCAGGAA